CTTGATGTCTCTATATAATTCAGATAAATATATTCAAAATATTAAATTTTTTGAAGAAGAGATTGAAATTACTTATTTGAATAGTAAAAAAATTCAATTTTATTTTGAACTGGCGAAGCCATATACCAAAAGCAGTTTTGAAAATAGGTTATTGAGTAAGCTTGATATATTGTTAATCATAAATGAAAATCCTAATAATGAAAATAATGATCGAGCGATTGTAAGATATTATTTATTTGAATTAGGTATATAATTTTTAGTATTTTATTTTACTTACCAAAAGATAATGTTAATTGATTTTAATTTTACTTTTATTTAATTTTGAGGAAATGTTGATGAACTTGAAGAAGATATCAAATTGAAAGAAGGAAAAAAAGTGTATAATAAAGAAAGAAAGGATAACGGAAAAAACAATAAAGTAGAAGATAAAAAAAACATAATCAAAAATATGATTAAAAGTGAAGGAATTGAAGTAGAAAATGAAAAAAAATATAATAAAAGAAAATGTGATAGAAAAAAACAATGAATCTGTTGAAGTAGAACAAGTTACAAATAAGATAGAAAAACAAATAGAAGAGGAAGAAATAGTTAAAAATTCAGATAAAGAAGTAAGTGACGAAATGGAAGAAGAAAGTAATGAGGTAGAAGATGATGATAAGAAATTTGAAGTTGAAGAAGAAATAAATAAAAAAAGAAAGAGTAAAGAATCACAAAATTGTAAAAAACATATGTATAAACAAATAAGAATAAAATATTTTATTAAAAAAAATAATTGCTAATTATAATTTTTAATCTTTGTAGGTTCTAAAATATGCAATACTTTAACAGGCAATAAATTAAAAGCTGTAAAATTATACAAGAAATTTTTTTCATTCAAACAAGTGCTTTCAGCAATTGCACCATTTTTTGATAATAATTTAGGGATTTGAAAATCTGATTATTATAATAATATAATAAAGCATCTAAAATATTTAACATATTATCAAAATTCAAATTCAAATTCAAATACAAAGCAGTTTGATCCTTCGTTAATTAATGGAGCTTTTAGTATAGACTTATATCAAGAAAAACAAGAGCCTGCTGCATTGATTCTATCTGAATTTGATAATAGTAACTTATGTAATCAAATTATTTTGTTACATAAAGTTCCTAAATTGCCTTCAAATATTTCAAATAATTCATCTGACTCAAATAATCAACAAATATTAATCTTTTCTTCTCTTATAAGTACATGTTACAAATTGCTTCATAAAGTTGAAATAAGTTTATACAATTCTGAACTCTTTAGAAAAATGGCATTATGTTTCTTGTATGAATTTGACCTTGCTTACAGTTACATGAAAAATTGAATAACCAAATTTACAACTCGTTTCAAAGGAATGAAATCAACTACTCAAGTTAATGCACTTCTTACTAGAAGAATTAGTTTACAATAATTGTTGAACATTCAAAGTACTACTTCTGAAACTTTCCTAGTTCATCAACCTATTAAACAAAATAAAAAAAAATTAGTTGCATTAGATGAGATTTTAATTGATAATCCAGAGTTTTGTGGAAAGGTTTCAGTATGAAAACTTAAGGCATTCACTACTGCTGGATCATGATTAGTAAAACTTCTTAAAGCTTTAGATAACAACTAGGTAATACTTAATTTGGTCAATTATACAACTATAACTTGGCTTGCAAATATTCAAAAAAATGAATGAATTGAACTTATTCATCAAATTACTTTATAAATTTATTTGTTATCTTTGCATTTAGTATATATACTATTAATATTAGTATATTTTATATATATATATAAATAAATAAATTTTTGCTTAATAGCTTATACTGTAAAAATTAATAAATAATTATGGTTTATAAGCTTTTTAAATCATATATTATTCATATTTGCTTAATAGCTTATACTATAGAATTAATAATGATCAATTATTAAATCTGAATTCAATATAACTTGCTAATATAATAGATAGTACTTTGTGCTATCCATCATACTCAAAATTTATTAATAATATATAATTTGGCTACAAATGATAATATAGCTAATTTAAGCAGTTAATTTAAATTATACCAAAAGATTTATATAGATAGTTTTATTTCAATTATCTGTTAATAAAATAAAACTTTAATTACAGGTTTTTTAAATAAAATCTATAGATTGTTTATTATAATATAATAGACAATCTATTTACATATTGAAGATTTTATAGTTCAAACAGGATATTATCTTGTTTATCCAAGTTAATATTATTTGAAATCTAACCTAGTTGTAGATAATTTCATAATTTGTTATATTATCATACTGTTAAGTAAAAACCTGTTATTGAAATTTCATTTATATATTGTATCAGATACAAAATATATTGAAGGTCTAATGATAAGGTTTTTTTAATAATACTATATAATATTATCATTATCTATAAACAAAGGCTAAATTTAGCTTTTGTTAAATGTATTAATTAATCAATAACTTCTAATATATACATCTGATAAATATATATATAAGTGCTGTTAAGAAAAATACAATTAAGATACAATTGAAATCTTAATTACAGTCTTTCTTTTGATAACACTAATATAAAAAAGTGGTTTGATCAATTTTTGAAATATAAGTATCATTGTAAAAATAATTTCGGACATTATGGTTTTATTTATTTTATTCAAATTCAGCTTATAAAATTTAAAGCTAAATTTGGTGAAAAATAAATAAAAATTGAAAACCTGAAGCTATTCTTTTTTTTTGTAGCACTTATATTTGAGGTCTGCAAATTGGATTTGTTTTGATGATGCAAAATAAACCATTCAAATATAAATACAACCTTATTCTATTTTTTTAACATGTTTACACTCTTTCTTCTTTTACATGTCTGCATTATATTTTCTTTTACAACTTTATAAATGAATAATACTAATTAAGATACCTCTAGTTCAAGAACTTCAACACAATCAAACATGAAAGAAATTGCTAGAATGTTGGATATCATATTTGAAAATTTAAATAAAACTAATTTCAAATTAAATTATATTAATGAAGTATTTGAGCAACACCAAGAAACTGTTTCTATTCAAGTTACAAAGTTTCAAGACATGTATAATAATCTGAATACAACCTTTTAAGAAATTATTTTTAATTTAAGCATGCAAATCTTAAAAATAAAAGTTAAAGTTATTGAAACTACTAATGATCAAAAAAATATATTACGCATTCTTGAAGACATTAGAATTGAAAACTCTTATGAGCCTTTTTTAGAAATTATTAATCAAAAAAAACTTACTAAAAATTCACTCTGATATTCTGTATCACATCCTACTTTATGAAATTCGATTTGTCACAAGATAACCAGTTATCTTTATTCTGAAAACATTGATGAAGCTGCCTTCAAGTTTAATCTAGAGAAACCACCAGATAATCATTATAATCGAGATATATTAAATAATTATATAAAATTTTACCAAGAAGATTATCTTAAAAGAAGCAAAAAGTTATGTATATATAGACAAATCCTATATATATATATGTATATTAAATAATATTTTTTAAAATAAATATATAATAGAACAAAGGGAATTGTAAAGTGAAAATATTATAAGAGATATAATTATTGGATATGCCAGATATTTTCACAAATGACATATGTCTTCAAAAAAGAAAATTGAAAGTAATAAAGTGTTTAATAGAAGAAAAGCACAAAAAATTTAAATATATACAAATATATTTCTTATATTATTTTTAATTTTTGTATGTATAACTTTATAGATAATCAAAATATAAAAGATAAATAGCTATATATATTCTATTACATATAAGCAAGTTTTATTTTTAATATTACTATATAATAATTATAATTTTTATTAGATAACTTTGTATATATATATTGGTATATATATTGTAATTATATTTATTCTGTATAAAATATTTTTTTATTATTAATTATTTGAATATATTTTAACTAGTACATATACAAATATTTGTTTTACTATTATTGAAATGTTGTTGATTATAAGCAACTCTATGAATTAAAACTAAGAATCAATATTTAAAAGAAAACCTTTATTCAAAATAAAATATCACAAAGAATTTTAATTCTATTTTAAATCTGAACATAACAGTATATTGGTTTGGTTATGATGTAATTAATATAATTTGTATTAATTATATTTATTTTTTTTCAGAAAACAAAAAAAAGACATGAATGCATATTGCTTATGGATCATGATGAATTAGATAAAACTTTATCCGATGTTAATAAGGTAATAAAACCTAAATATGCAAGTCCAAAAATTAGTGGTAAAGAAAATGATGTTGACATATTTTACATTGTTTAAATTTCTTGGAGAAATTAAAGAGTAAGCTTATAATTTAAATATAAAATTTTATAATATATATATAATGTTTAATTAATAATAAAAATATTTATTGAGGATGGCGATCCTAGTGTAGTAGTTGGGTTGTCATCCTCCAAGTGGCAGGTCTAAGGTTCAAATCCCACCTATGCCGAAATTTGGAAATTAAACTGTGTTATGACTAAACTGTCTCCTGTCGATCAGTTGGATTTAGGTATCTGTAATCTTGGGTACAACCAATCGGGTTCTACTCGTCATTGGGAGCCCAGGGCATCTATGTGAAGTGTAACATTACACGTACATAGAGGAATGTTAAAACCGGGATTGTATAAGATTCCAGTGCAAACCCATGATAAGACCACTGGATGTAGAAGACCAAGAAACTGAGAAGACAGAATCCCACTTGGAAATCCTGAGAAAGAGGTAGCACAAATCTTCGATGGTGCTGTTGGACTAATGAAAGCCCAGGAAACCCCAATAAGGAATAGGTAGATATGCAACTGGATGAAAAGATGTGTAGAGAAGCACATGACAACCAGGCTGCCAGAATCACCAGAGGAAAAGGATACCAAAAGGTATACCATATCAGGCTATCTGGATTGGAAGTCTGGGGAGTCTGTCGGATTCTAAGTTGGATAGTATAGGGATGAAGAGAAGAAGTCGGAAAGATAGGTATCAGGATTTGAGTAAACTTTCAAAGGTAAAAAATAGTGTAACATAGTGGTTTAAGGTTAGTCCTGACTGCAAGTATTAGGTAACTATAGCATGTTACATGAAATCCAGGTTAGCTGTGTGTAGGATACAGAGGCTCTGGTAGGTTTATCTCAAGGATAAAATAGTCCTAAGGTTGAGATGAGGATCTGGGCTTGACTCAGTGAAGTTGGTACAAGGGTTTTGGATCAGAGGGTTTAAATAGAATACTTAAACAGAGGTGTTAGATATGGCAACTGGTGGGGAACCTTCGGGCAGACCTCCTAAATAGGTAATATAGAAAAATTACATGTGTAGCCAGTTGTACACTCGTCATGATACTTGACAAAAGTATTAATAAAGTCAAAAGACCAAAGAGGTCACCTTAATACTGAAAAAAAAAAAAATATATTTATTTTATATAGCTTTGTGAATTAATTCAAAAACTTAATCAAGAAAATGAAAAAAAAGAAAAATCTTTAAAGTATCAAAAAAAACATAAAGGAAGTCTATCTACATTGTGCATTAATGTTAATAAACATTATAAAAAATTTGATGAACTAAAAAACCATTTACCTGCTATACCTAATTCAGATGATGTTGTGATGATATCTGGTTAGCTTAGGCCTTACCAAATGATTATGATAATACTAAACTTGATTCTGAACCTAATGATTAGGCTATTTCTTAGGTAATAAAAATATTATATTAAAAATTATTTTAATATGCAGTATTATTTAAAAATTATTAATATTTTTATTTTTATTTTTAAATATTTAAAGATTTGATTTTATATTGATAATTTACTTATCTAGTTTATAGAGTAATAAAAAATAGATATAATTCATATTATTTAGCATTTAGCTAATATATTTTTAAAATAAAATATAAAAAAATATATTTTATTTTAATTGAATTTAAACAATTATTATTTATAATTGTAATATGTTTTTTAAAACATATATAATATATAATAAATATATAATAAATAATTAAATAATATAGAAGATGGTGATCCTAGTGTAGTGGTTAGGTTGTCATCCTCCAAGTGGCAGGTCTAAGGTTCAAATCCTACCTACGATGAAATTTGGAAATTAACCTGTATTACGGCAAACTGTCTCTTGACGATTAGTTGGATTTGTGTATCTGTAACCTTAAGTTGCACCATCTCGAATGGGAGCTCGGGGCATCTATGCCAAGTGTAATATTACACGTACATAAAGGAATGTTAATAACCAGTGTCGCATAAGACTTTGGTGCAAACCCATGATAAGACCACCGGGTGCAGTAAACTAAGGAACTAAAGAGTCGGAAGCCTACTTAAAAATTCCCAAGTAAAGAGGTAGCATGAACTTTCGACAATACAGTCAGACCAATAAAAGCCCATGAAACACCCCCAAAGAGATAGGCAGATAAACCGAATGTCAAGATGTGTAGAGGAGCACATGACCAATCAGGCTACCAGAATCACCGGAGGAAAAGGATACATAAGTATACCATACTAGGCTATTTGGATTGAAAGTTGGGGAAGTCCTGTCGGTCCTGAGTAGCAGTTAGTAAGAGATGATGAAGAAGACGTCGTGATGATAGGTACTGGGGTTCTAGTGAACTTTACAAGGGTAAAAATAGTGTAACATAGCAGTTAAACAGGTAACCTCTATGACTGCAAGTATTAGGTAACTATAGCATGTTGCATAAAACTAGATCAGCTGTGTGTGGGACACGGAAGGTTCTAGT